TGCTGCTGCTGCTGCTGCTGCTACTGTAGCACCAGCAGCACCTTCGCCTTGAAATACCAGTGCAGTTGCATCAAGCAGTGGATGATGCTGCGGCTGCATTGCTGCTGAAGTATCGGAGAGTTGTGCCGAACTGAAGAGCTTGCTATCGACTGTTGGAGCAGAAGCAGCCTGAATCTAAAAATCCATCATCAATCAGGGATGAGCAACTGAAAATAATTGAAAATGTTAAAAGTTGCAACGAAAAAATTAAAAAATATCTGAAAATCAAAAACCGGACTGTGCCGTCTTTTTTAGGACCAAATCATTCTGGAAAAGAGGAATGGAAGAATGGATTTCACGCGAATTTCATGTACATGAAGACATTTTATGATGCAATCTGTGTTTCATCCCCTAGCTGTATACACTGACCGAACCATATGCATGCGGGAAACGATAAGCAAAACCCTCAGCATATCTGTTAAGAATTTCTCCGTATTTTGCGTAAAACTTTAATTCCCACCACTCCAATTATTCACTTCCAATAAAAAGGGAGGGGGAACTCAAAAACAGCCCAAATGGTAAAGTTCTAACAGGAATCAACAGTTGGCTAAGCTTCCAGCGAACATCATTTTTTTATCTGTTTTCTTCTAATTTAATTCCCAAATTCCAATACCATTTCCAGTTCAATTCCCATTACTCTAATATGTAGTAAGCATCGACTATGCATGGGGTGTCAGTAACAAACACTTCTTAGATGGCAATTCGACTATATAATTTATAATTGCGGTCCTTATTTAACATGGTCGCTTCGAAAAACTTCCTGCAGTTCCGCAATAAGAAACATACAACTTAATGGACCGAAACGTTCTTATCATAACTGTTACTGCCACATCTATATATGTACACAAATTTACGAATTCATACATACATATACATATGTACATATGCATATATATGTATGTGTACGTAAAAACTCACAAAGATGGCTTTGATTCCTTTCTGTCTGTATTTGTAACACTATTTTAGCATGCACATTTCTTTTACTTTATTTTTATTCACTTATGCATGTTAAAGGTTGAAGAGGAAATATGAAGAGAAGAAAACAAAGAAAAGGCGAGGAAAGGGGACTAAGGAACTATTTGTAATAGGTAAGAAATGTTTCGGTTCAATATTCACCGGTGACAGTTCACGGACGCGGTTCGTCGATTGCTGGCATCGGGTCGGAGTTTCCGAAAATGCTGCAATGATTAGGGGACGGGGGAGGGGAGGGGGGGAGGGGAAGGGGGAAAAAATGAAATGGGACACAAACACAAGCATAAAATACGAGTTTTAAAAGCAAAACCATACCATCGGGCGTTGTAGCTCTTGCTTGATGATTGTTTTTGGTGAGAATGGATCCCAAACTGAAAGAAATGATGAATCGAGTGGCGACAAATCACTGGTGCCAGCCAATGCACCACCAATATTCGATGACGGTGTTTCCGAGAGCCATGATCCTGAACGTGGTGATTTGAAATCAGCAACCGAATCGGCAATTCCACCTCCACACACCGATGGCATCGATAAACATGATGGACAGAGCTGAGCTTGGCGCAGCATCGATGCACATTGACTGCAGAACCTTAAAAATACACTGTACATTATCAACAGACTTATAAAAAGCACTACAGATAAAACAAATCTTTCTCCCCTTAGCCCGCTCCCCGCCCCCTTCCACAAGAACTCACAAAAGTTGCAGCTTTCCAGAGCAACCAGTCATGAAACAAAAACAATTTTTTAACAAAATTTGGCTCAACAATAATCCTAAACTACACAGCTCAACTACTACAGGCTACCGTTTCTGATCTACAACGAAAATTGGAAAAATGAAAGGAATGTGCACAAAATCAAAAAATGGGAAAACATAAAGGAAAGGGGAAAATGAAAAGAAACGCAAAAAAAAATAAATAAAATAATGGAAGACGATAACGAAAAAAGCAAAAATAATTTGAAAAA